TAATGACACACGACAAAAGTACATATAACGAGAAGAAAAAAAAAATAGAAAAGAAGAATCGATGGGGAAAAAACTCAATGAAAAGGAAAAACGCAAAATAAGAACAAAAATACATGGGTTTTAATGCAAGCTTCAAAACCCTGCAGGTTTTCTTTAAATATATTGAAAACTAAGAGAAAAACTTATATAGCATTCTGTTTTCTTTACTAATTAATACTCGTTTGAATTTACGTTAATAGACGAATCAACTGTACTCATTTACTCCGACGCGTATGGAGTGAAATTTATTTTTCAAAAAAATAAATAATAAAAGAGCTTCTTGTAGAAAACCACTTGTATTAATCGAGAAATATCTTCTGCAATGTCTCCTTTTCTCAATGTTCAGTCTCCTAACATTCGTTCAACTATCATGCAATTTAGTTTTTTTCAGGCATTACATATTGATCATTAAGAACGCCAATAAATAGATAAAAATTTAAACTTCTGAAAAATTGCTCTAAAAAATAAATGTCGAGTTCCCCTTTTGATCAAAATCTTCATCGGATGAAAAGAAGTTTTCTGATCATGTATCACTCGACGTAATATTATCAAGCCATACAAAACGGTAGAGTAAAATTTTTCACATAAGTTAACATATTGATCTAAATAAAACTACTACAAAAGCTCATTTTAAAGATAGCACTCTGGATGTTTATTCTTAGAAAAAATAAGATATATGTTGCAACATAAGCATTCCCATTTCATGTGAGATGAAGAGATCTACGATAATAACATATACTGCTGATGTTATTGGAAAAAGCTCATTTTTAATGGGATTCAAAAATTTCGAGCGACTTAATTGTGGACGATTCATGACAAATTAGAATAGTTATGTGAATTCTCCATTTTTTAAAAAGTTTTTTTCAAATGAAAATACATTTAGTCGAATTGTCCCGTATAACGTATACATTAACACTGTAGCAAGAGTTTCGTATCCGGCACTACGTACAGAGAATTTTTGATGACTATTCTCATATTAATATGACAATGCGAAACAAAACTAAGATTGTTATGATAAAAAGTCTGGTTATCGTCAAGAACAGCGTAGCTAGCTAGCATACTATAGTCATATATGTATCAGTTGACAAAGTAATTCTTTTACTTTAGGGCTAAAGGCGATACCAGACTATTATAGCCAGTGTCGTAGTTTATTGATCTATTTTGTTTTGTCATGCAGTTTTTGTGTAAAGTTGACATATGTGCGTGACTTGTGAATAATTTAGCTAAAAAAGTGTGAAAGAAGGCAAAAGGACTACTGATTAGGTTGAGCAAGATTTTTGTAAGTTTTCAACGTTAAAAGAACACCAATTCTAACTATACTACGTAAAGTTTGCAAGGTGAAAGGGTAAAACTGATTAAAATGGAATTATCTTTTACGACTAACATGACAAAACTAACAGTATGACACACGCGTAGTCACTCAATACATCCGAATCGTATTTAGCGAGTCCTATATCAGACGTTTTTAGAAAAAAAGCCTTTTTGACTAATTCCGTTATAATTCGATAACGATGACTTTGTCGCCTATAATGGGACATTTCAAGCAACTCCATGAGATATATCGAGTACAGTTGTCATCAGTTATCTAGCACTTACGATACGACCCCTAGGCTTTACAGAAAGCAAGCAACTCGACTCGTTTATAAGGGAACAAACGATTAGCTGCAACAGAGATGTATTTTCAAAGCAACAGATTCAGGAAAGGTAGTGATTCACTTTACGTGAAAGAATTCATTCACTCAGTCATTCGCGTTATGGATGCACTATAAGAAAATAAAGTTTATTTAAAGTGATTTCATTCAATCAAAAAAGGAAAATAGAAAAGCCTAAAAAGCGGAAGAAAGTCCGGACAGCGAACTTTTTTCGCGGCCTGCGACAACTCTGATTTTACATTGCTGTGCTTAAAGTTAAATTACTAAAATAACAAAGATACAGAACTCGGGGGACTACAATAAACACGTGCTCTATCAACAGAATGTGTTTATCAGAGAAGCCCGCAAATGTCAACAGATTCTTAAGTGATTTATTACTGTAGACATGTGCGTATCTTGATCGTATATGAGGGGCATAACTCGATATTCCGAGCAAAAAGCGTAAAGAGTTTTTCGTACATTTTTCGACACTTTTCTTAGGACGAAGTCCAAAAATACCTTTTTCGCTGCGGGATCTTTCTAGACAAAATAAAAACATTCTGCTGGTGAACAACAAAAACTTTCAGAAGGATACCCTGGCTCTTTCTTACACTTTCCCGAGTATTTATGCTCTTTCTATATACTAGAATCTTTTTAATCTTTACCTAATTAGAATGAAAGAAACTCAGTCTTCGCCATGTGAAGAATAAAAATGGCTGACGTTCACCATTGCAGTTTTGTATCTAGCTATTTGCCTTTACTCTGCAGCTGCCGAAAGAGTGCATTACTACGCTCACTAAGTCCAACGCTAACCACGTTCTGAAAAAGTGTTTAAATGACTCGGTACTGTTTCCAAAACTCTCTGGTGATCATCACTTCCTTAAAAAGCAAGGCAGTTAAGAGATTTCCATCTTACTCTTCATTGGCTCATTATTAAACGAATGATAACCATCTTCCATCACGGGTACTTCGGTAAAATCGTTGATGATGAATACACTGTCCCGAAATGTTACACATTGCATTGTTTCTTGGTACAATTATACAAGATTTATTATCGTCTTAGTCCTCTCTCTTTTTTTTATAATGTTCTTTGTCCTTATTATTCTTCCTTACGTTGTCATCATTCTAAATATGTCCGTACATATGAAAAAAAACACCTTCTGAGACGAGTGTTTTTATTCGATTTCCTTTTACCCATATAATCTAGGCTATATGCTTTGGTGATCGTGAAAGTCAGTAATTTTGAGATGTATTGTATCATGTTCCCGAAGAGAAAACCGGATAAAACATGGCGAAATCAGAATCCTAACTATCATAAGAAAATTCATTCAAGATGAGTTTTCTTGCCCATAAAAGTTGTGTTTTTTTCTTTACAAGAAAAGGATCTTAATTCTTACAAATAACACCTTTTAGAAGGTCTGTTTGTCTCAATATGATCTCGAAGTTTCAGTCTTACGAATGTTTTGGTGTCTAAAAGTATTTTGTTCAAAATCGTTTTTTATGACGTTATAAAGTTGAGAATCTGTACGAAGGCTAAAAACGGTGACCTTTTTCTCGTACAGTTTTTTGAGTATTAAATGCAATTGAAATTAGGACTTGAAATGAAAAGTTAATTTCTAATTTTTGAATAATATGAGTTTACCTCCGTGGATATAAGTTTCCGCCGCGCAAAACTTTTGAAGTCAGATAGAGCGCAAAAGGTTTTACAAGATAGTGAATTTTATTTACATGGTTTGAACAGTATCTTGCAAAAAGTCAAAATCTGAAATATTATTTTAAAATGAATTGTACTTTCGTTCTATAAATACATGATGCCAATTTTGGCGAAACGAAAAAATTCTGAGTTTTCGAATTTTTTCTGCCTCATTTCTGCTCTTTTTTCTTCTAAGGTAGTTGTTGTTGTGTACTTAATTCAAAGTTAAAAATCTCAGAATTGATTACAACATGTTCTCGAAGAAAAGTCCGAGTAAAACATGGTGTAACTAGGACTGAGAAAAGGGTCCTAAACAACTGCTTCTCGCTCGAACGTCTATTTATGCACCAATTCAGGCGTTGTAATGGATCGGAATTTAAAAAAAATTAACTAATGAATCATTATCTTTCCTTGTTGGCGCCGTTCCTACGAGTACTCGCGCGTTCATTGAAAGCGCGTAGGAAAAGCGCTTTTTTGGGCTTATTCTGCGCGCTGAAGGTTGCTGACTTCAATTTTGATATTTGCAACTGAAGAGAATAGTCTAATTTGCAGGTGAGAAGAAATAGTCTAATATCACTAAATTTTGCTATATATGATACGCTAGGTATTACGGCGTGTAACCATTGATGCTTAATGGCGCCAATGAGAGCGTTACTATAGGCCATAAGAATGAATTTCGCTATAAAGAGTCGAAAAAGTTCAAACAATAAAGGGTTTAACCAAACTTTCACGATCACCAGAGCATATAGCCTAGATTATATGGGTAAAAGGAAATCGAATGAAAACACTCGTCTTAGAAGTTTTTTTTTTCTTCATATGTTCCACCTGTAAATGTTTTTTTTCATAAACAGTTTCGTCTTCCTTCTTTCATTCAACTATCACTGACTGAACTAATCTTCCGGAATCAGTCGTTCGTTCTTTTTCTTTATTAACATTTAAAATAGCTTTATCTCAGCAGCTTTTCAGTAGAACATAACCATATTTACGGTTAAAAACAAACCTAGTGCTGTTACTCTTATTTTGTTTTTTTGTTTTTATTTTTTCTTTACTATCTCTCTGTTTCGTACACTAGTTTACCTTTTATTTTTATTTTTCTATTTATAGATTCTTTTTGTCGTTGTTTGGCTTGTTATTGGCTCGTTATTTTTACTCTAACTTTTCGTGAATAAATCATTCATCATTTCTTGTAGCTGCAAATAGTAGGTCCAAGGAGCTAGGATCAATACGAACGGATGTATAGTCTCTCCTTGGAACCACTATTTGAAGCTAAAAGGAAACAACGAGTGATGAAAGTCATGATCTTAGCTAAAAGTATCGAAAGTAAAACACATACCCTAAACTAATTTACGTTTTTACCAATCATAACTAACTACAGTGCATGTCATAGTGTTCTGTGGCCTGACGACTGAGTGTGTTGGCTTTAGTGATACTGAAGGCAATACATTAGTCATCAAGCCACAAACCAAGAGAAAAAAGCTGACAATGTTGATTATTTTTTATTTATCTTAGACTTTATATTGTTAATTGTTTTTCACCAGTGATGGCTAATGCAGGTTAGTACTGATCACCTTGCAAAAAACCAATTTCTCTCAATAAGTAAAATAAAATCGGGATTTATAGTTTTCACACGAATGAGAATGACTGTTGCATCAACAAAGGGATTGTCACGAAATTACTCAAGTAAGCTTTCTGTACGGTTAAAGATGTAGGTAGTTTATTGCTCATCATATTTACCAGCACTTTTTTTGTTTTCGTTCCACTATGACACTAGTGCAGTAGTATATGGTCTGAAACATGAACGAATAGGCGATCAATCAAAAGCTAATGCACTTAATAATGGGAGCTCATTTTTGTAGCTTTTCCTAGTTCATATTATAGTTGATGTCGAGAATTTAATCAAATATATATTCGGAGTTCTCTAGTTCAAAGCCATTGCTGAGAAAAATAATAAAATAAACTTAGTCACGTACACTGAGAGATCACCAAAGGTCCCTGCCCTATAACGTGATGGTTTCCCGCCGAACGAATAAACTATAAAGAAGTAAATAAAAAGAGGTGCTAACTGAGAAAGAAGAAAAATAATTAAGTTATATAAAAACGAATAAAGATAAAATAAAAGCAATAAATGAATAGATAGATGAGAAAGTTAGAGACACTGGTATAAAGTTGACTATTAACATTAAGATAATAAAAACTAAAACAATGTTAAGAAAACAGGAATTTAGAAAGAGCTTTTTTAAAAGATATCGGATGACTGTTGAGCAGAAGAAAGAAGAATGTACTGCATGAGAAGAAGAAAGAAGAATGTACTGCATGAGAAGAGAAGTCGTTAACACGAGAAAGAATACGAGTACACATGGAATGTTGAGAGTGTAAAGAAGAATAGTGAGGATGTTGAAATAAATAAAAAATAAAAAGAAGACTGAGATGATGGTACCTTTTAAAGAATTGAACAAGTCTGGAATATTTACGACGATGAAGCTAATCCGAAGACACAACTCAATGCTCCTACAGTGCGCCAACACAGTGACTGTACAATTTCGGACAGTGAAATTGAGATAAAAAAAATTTCTCTATTGAAATAATTTTATTTATTGTTTATCTACGGCAGAGTATGCCACATACGCTGAGATACTGGTGTTTTTAAAAGAGCTGTTCGCTATAGAAACAGCCTTTGAATTCTAGTTGTTATAGTACTCTTGCAGTATAGGGATCTCTGGCATAATTTCACGCCAGAATAAATGCTGAAAGGATCTACACGTCCTGAATATGCCTCCTTTTTCTAGTTGACTTATGTAAGATCGGTTTTTTAAAAACACTGATTAATTAGTAACGGCTTCGAACCAGAGAACTCCGAATATATATTTTGAAGCCTCTTGGCATCAGCTATAACAACTAGGAACTAGGAAAAAATCCACAAACTTTTCCTTTTTGATTTCAAGTGCACTGTTGAATATCCCAATTCGATTTTGATTGCATAAGTCATCGTCAAGTAACTACAGACCAGTGGTCGATGATTTTCATTTATTTTAGGTTTAACTTATGAACAACTGAATGCTTTTTCCGATTTATATCATTCTGATCCAAAAAATTTACTTGCACAAACAACATGTTGTCAAATAGCTTTGGTCGATGCTCTTGTCGACAGGAAAAAACGTTTTACTTCATCACACATGTTCAACACAAAGGTTTTTAATTTCAGATGTATTTGATTCTATTTTCACTAGTTTGATTTATTTAGCTATCAATTGAAGGAAAAGCAACAAATCAAAAATCTTCTGGAAGATGTTGGATCTTTGCCATGCTCAATTGTATGCGTTTACCCCTGATGAAATCATTAAAAGTATCAGAGTTAGAATTAAGTCAAAATTATTTGTTCTATTGGGATAAAGTATGATCACATTTGATTTATTCATACGAGAAAGATAAAAGTTTTTTTTTATATTTGTTTGTAGATTGAACGATGTCACTATTTTCTAACATCAATGATCGATCTTGCAAAGAAACAAGAACCATTACAAGGCCGTTTAGCGCAATTTTTGTTGAAAGATTTAATAATTGATGGAGGTAGTTATATCGACAAATTGATAAAAGTAATGCTTTAGCTATGTATATTTTATCTATGACAGGACAATGGGATATGTTAGTGAATCTTGTGAAAAAATATGGCGTTGTTCCCAAATCTGTTTATCCTGAAAGTTCAAATTCAGAGGGTACAGTGAATATGAACAAACTCCTTCGAGCGAAAGTATGTAATCGTTTATTTCATTTAATGATTCATATCGTTATTTTTTTCTTTTAGTTGCGTGGCTACGCACAAGAAATCTACGAATTCATCAATGATGGTAAACGTAGTGATGATGAATTGTATCAACGAGAACTTGAAATGATGAGCTCGGTAAAAATAGTTTTAACTTGATGTTTTTTCTAAACATAGTTTATTTGATTCAACAAAGCGGATGGGTCCATCACACGTTGAGAAGAATCGAAAAGGAAAAATTGATTATCACACATACATAC